CGCCTAAGTGTACAAAAAACTAAAACGCGATCCAACCACTAGCGTAGAGAAGAAAACCTCCTCCCTGATCAAAAAGGCGAACCTCCCTCCGCTAACCACGAAATACCTGACCCCCAGCGACAGCTCAGCACCCAGACTGTACGGCCTTCCGAAGATTCACAAAGAATCAGTCCCCCTACGGCCTATCGTCAGCAACATCGGAGGCCCCACCTACCAACTAGCCCGCTACCTCACCAAACCCCTCCAAAAACTTACCGGCCTCAACGACTCCCACATCAGGAACTCAATGGACTTCGTGAACAGAATAACCAAGATCAAAACCGAGCCCAACGACATCCTGGTAAGCTTCGACGTGGTTTCTCTGTTCACCAACGTCCCAGTCCAAGACACTCTGGACATCATCAGAACACCCAAAGAGATTCCATCCACCCCGTTCCCATTAATAGAACACTGCCTCAACTCCACCTATTTCCAGTTCGAAGGAGAATTCTACGAACAAACCACGGGAGCAGCAATGGGATCCCCGATATCACCCATCATCGCAAACATCTTTGTGGAACACTTCGAGAATGAAATCCTGAAAAAGGCCCCACAAAAACCCTCCACATGGTTCCGATACGTGGACGACACCTTCGTCATCTGGAACCACGGAAGGGAAACTCTACCTCAATTCCTCACTTTCATTAACTCCCAACACCCCAACATCCAATTCACAATGGAGACCGAACAGAATTCCCAAATCCCCTTCCTGGATGTCCTGGTCCGTAGGGACGAAGACGGCACCCTAAGCCACAACGTCTACCGCAAACCAACGCACACGGACCGATATCTCCACGCAAACTCCCACCATCACCCCGCCCAAAAGAATTCGGTAATCAGCTCTCTAGTCCACAGAGCACTCTCCATCTCGGAACCAGCCGCCCTGAACGGAGAGCTAAACCACCTTTTTTTTTTACGTGTGGAAATCCTTTATGGATACCCGGGCCCCCCTCTGGGCTGCGTTCAGATGCCCCACCTAGGTGCCCCGAGTCACACAAACGCCGTTCAGATTCCTCCTACTTCCACCCAGGTGGCCTCCGCGTGTTCCGTTCAGATTTCACCTGAACACACCCGGGTGAAAGGAAAAAGCACCCTGCTTCTAGTACAGGGTGCCAGCGGGTAGATTTTACCGCCAAGTGAAGTGCGCGAATTATTGTTAAAATCTGACAGTTGTGAGGTTAGGCTCGGTGAGTCTGCGACGCTCCCGTATAGCGTCGGTTGGTGTCGGTACGACAGGTATCCTAACCCCAAAACTGTCAGATTTTAACAATTTATAGCTATCTTATTAGTGCCGAGCGACGGTTTCAACTTGCAAATTCGTGTTTTACAGGCCAAAATACACGATTCTGTGAATTTTTATCACAAACATAGAGTGAGAAGCTCTCCTTCCAGGGTTGCGTTCAGATTCTCCAGTCTACCGAGGTCACCCAACAGTAGCTCCGCCCACTCCCGGTCCACCCTACCTTTACCCGCCGGGTGGAAAATCTGAACGCACCCCTGAGAAGGGAGTTTACAAATGGCCCGGGTTATGTGGGACTGCCCCCCTAATGACGATCGGGGTGCCGCCGCTAGCGTTGCGGCGGCTGGGCTTACCGCACTAAAACCACACGGTGACCTGCGCGGTGCTTTACTTGGGGGACGCCCAGGATGTAGCAGAGCTATAACTTCTGGGCGCCCCCCGCACCGGCCCGCCGTTTAACCGGCGGGCCTCGCGCTCCCTCCTCCGTTGTTGTTGGGGAGGGGGGACTCCCCCCGCGGGGGGAGTCCG